TATCAAGTTTCATACAAAAAATCTCTCAAAATGTCGTAATTGTAGCCGCCATATTGTATATGCCATTTTGAATTTTTTCTTGTTGACATCAGATTCGAAATCAGTGACCCTAAGAACCTCTACATACCAAGTTTTACGCAAATTCGTCAACGTTTTGAATTTTGGCCAATTTTTGAGGTTTCTTGGCCCACTGTGCGGCGGTGTGACAATATATACAGAGTGCCCGGTAATTGCCGTAACATTGCTCGTAAATAGATAGAAGAAGTTATTCTGAGTCGAAAAGTCTTACATACCACTTTGCAATATTTGCAATAATTAAGGGGGTACTGGATACCGACTATAGAGACCTGTAAACCGATGTTTCTCTTAAGTCCTTTGGAGTCGTATTTACTGCATCAAATCTAAAATGCTTTTACAGAAATAAATAAATAGTGCTAAGGATTGGCGCGTGTTCTTTGGAATGTCAAAATTCAGCATAAATTTTTTCTTATATAGTTTCCTTCTATAACCTCACTATATATTCATGTATGTAGAATTATTTCTAAGCTTATGTACATATTTACAATGGAACAAGCGCCACAGATACGACAAAAACAAATCTAATGAGACAATCAGATTATAGTATGACTCTAATGGATGAGAACAACGTCTTAGTGTGATGACAGTATAGGTTATCATAAGCTATTATTATGAATGAAAAAAAGAGTTTTAAAAGGTATTATATATCTATTTTCAAAAGCACTAAATAGTTGTTTATATGTATTTGCTTCTATAGAAGCACTTCTTATGTAATGCAGTAAAGAAACTTAAAAATTAGATAAATTTAGGTTTTTAAAACGTCGGTTTACAGGTCTCTATCCAGTTTACAGGCCGGGCTTCAGTACCCTCTTAACGAGATATCAATTAATAAAAATTCGTGAATGAGCGTGCAGCTATGTGCACAATGACAGCTCAATGTTTCGCGCGCTCACGCCGTAGCAACGGAATAAAAGAAGCTAATAAATAACATGTGATATACATAAACTGTACATAAAAATCAATAATTATCGACAACTAAACATGAAAGCGTGAACCTCTCATATTTCTTTCATTAAAATAAATAGGTTTAATGTCAAAATATGACAAAAATGAGTTTTTTTTTTAATTTATGTAGTTGTATTGATTTTTATGTATAGTTTATATATATCACATGTTATTTATTAGCTTCTTTTATTCTGTTGCTACGACATAAGCACGCGAAACATTGAGCTGTCATTATGCACGTAGCTTCGCGCTCATTCGCTGATCTTTATTAATTGATATCTCGTTAATTATTGCAAATCTTGCAAAGTGTAGGTATAGGACTTTTCGACTAACAAGAAGAACCTCTGTAAGAATAACCTCTTTTACCTGCCTGAGCGGTGTTACGGCAATTACCAGACATCGTATATATAATTATACGTATCTTAGTTTATATTTGAATTTATATTTGGTATGTAATAACAAATCAATTTTATATAATTATTTATAAAGTATTTATTTAGAATATATTTTTCGAGATATTGGTAGGAAACAAAAAGTACACTGAAATAAGTTTTAGGTTTATCTAGAAGACTATGCTTCAAGAATAATGAGGAAAATAGAAAATATAATTCTAAAAGTGTCACCAATTATATAATTAAGGCTGATTTGACCTATTTACAAGAAAAAGACTGAAAAAGATCTTAAAAATGATCACGAGAACCTAAATAAATAAAAATGTGAATCAATCAAAATGTTTGCAATATTACTTATGTACAAGCTTTTTAAATTGACATATGTGTTAGATTTTATGTATAAAGTATTCTAGTGATATTTTGATACTTTTAAAGCACTGCTTACCCCTGAACAGAAAGCGAGTTTGGAATTCCATCAAGACTTTCTCTGCTGACATCGTCAGCCATCGCAACTTTAAGTTGATGCCCAAAGCTTGCGAGATCCTCCCTAAAGGCCTCACTTCCTGGTGTTAATGCACCACTAGTTGGTGGCAAATGTGTACTATTGTTTCCTTCGTTCTCTTCTTCTCCTTCTTCTCTTTCCTCTCCTTTTTCTCCTTCCTCTTGTTTTTCGCTATGTACAAGAACTTCCTCATCTTCGTTGTAAATCTTGAAGTAGGCGAAGGTGAGGTATATCACCGAAATTACGAAACATGGTATTGGAATTGCCATAGCATACACAAGGTTCATATACACCTGAAGAAATAGTTTCAACAAATGAGCTTGTTAAAAAGAGAGAAAAAGAAAGAATTTAATCGACTAGTTTCATGTAACTTCTCCATGTTTTGCCGAATAAATTTATATATATATATATATATATATATATATAC